CCTGCGTCCGGGGCGCCTTGGGTGCGAGAGGGCAGGAGCTGGGGAAGGGCGAGCTGCCGCGGGCCCCGTTCACCCTGGAACACTGCAGTGCCTCCAGCGTGTGTGTTCTGGCCATTCCTTTGAAAGTATAAAGGAGATTCAAGTGGAAATTAATAGATTTGGTCCATTTGCAGCATAAAACGGGTAGAAATGGGCTAAGCACGTTTAATTAGTCAGCAGTTCTGAAGCTATTTATGTGCTTTAATATACTGCGTCTTAGAGTAAAGGGATTGTGAAGGCTTTTGAGTTTCTAATATTGCTCTATCAGACTGTGTTTAGAAATGACAACAGGATTGGGTTTTGGCAGGCTGAAATGAAATTCCGAATTGTCACATTAAGAAGTCCATCCGTCATGCAGAGGGAGGAGGTTGGAGAGGCTGTGGAAGAGGTGGTTCTGTTTGCCCTCGCTGGCTGCGCTGGAGCTGAGCGGAGCGTTGCAGACTGCTGCTAACAGTGTCCGTTCGAGGTTTCCTCACTAGACTCGAGGGCAGGGTCAGAATGATTTACGTTTAATGGCATTTACGGCTTCGCTTGGTGCCGTTTCTGAGAGAGAAACCTTAGTCCTGAGGCTGAAGTAGTTTCAAAGAACAATTACTTTGCTCTTGGGTAGGGCGGTTTAAGTGAAAAGAGCTATTTTTAAAAGACTTCCTTCTGCGAAACTTTGATTCCATAACTTGAGGAATAAGGTGTAGTGCAGAATCTGGGAAGGAAATGCTAATGTTTTTGCTTAGCTTTAAGTGAAAGTGTGTGTGTACGAGTGTCGAGAAGAGCGAGCGGACCCTCTGCAGGTCTCTCGTGCCGTGGATGTGTTCCTGGGATGCAGTGTTTATCGAAGCAGAAGCGGTTTTGCAAGGCGCTCGCTGCGATGCTGGCAGCACATCAGAGTTGTATCACACGTTCTTTAAACACTGCGTTTCTTTTCTCATGGAACTATGGCTAATATATTATTGTGTCAGTAGCTAAGTAAATGTTTGAGTTGAGAAAACAATGAAAAATCTATTATCTGTGTTGTTACATTGTTTATTGGTTTCCTATGTGATGGCCTGTTGTCCAGATTGTAAGCGAGATATTTATAACAATGTCCCTGTCCGGACTGCTGATCTGTAACGACTTCCAGCTGCTGGAAGTGCCAGTGTCCTTAAGGGCCCAGGAATGAGAGAGAACTCGGCGTTCCTGGTGGGGTTGGCGCGTTGGCTGCGCGGAGCCCCCCAGGCGAGCGGGATGCCGAGGGACGGATTTCCGCAGCCTTCCGGACGCGCCGAGCGCGGGGCTGTGCCCGGGCGAGGGGGCCGCCGGCCGCGCTCGGGGCTGCTGTCCCTCGGTGCGGGCTGCTCCCGTGGCGGATCAGCCATTGCCAGCTGCGTCTGCTGCTCTTTTGGAAGGTTCTTGGTAGGGCACAAAATCCCACAGCCCCGCAGTGCTGCAGGGTGGAACTCGGGCACAGGTTTTCATCACTTCGGGTGGGGATCCAAATAGATTTCACTTTCAGTTAGGCTATATATATTTGCAGCATAGAATTTGATTTATTAATAAGAAATAAATTAATAATTTTGTAAGAAATAAATACAAAATGGAAACATCATGAAAATGACATTTGTTCTTGTCTTCTATTTGAGGTCTTATTCATAGGTACATATAGCAATCCTTATTCATATCATTTAGGATAGATATATTTATTTACAAATTATGCGTATGTGCAGAAAGACTTCTAAAATGTAATTTAAACACTGCATTTCGCAAGATGGAGAAGTTGACTATCTGAAACGTCGGGGCGGTGTGTCGTGTTTTGTACAAGTCACCAAGGTGCAGGTTGCTGATGCTGTCGCTTCCCTCCTCCTGCAGCGACGAGAGCTACACGGTGACCGACTACTCGCTGAGGGAGCAGCTGGCGGTGGCGCCGGACGAGGGCGACGAGCCGGGCGCCTCCCCGGCCAAGGCGCCGGCCTCGCGCCACGGCCCCTTCCGCCTGGCGCTCAGCAGCCACGCGGGCGAGCGGGCGCACATGCTCCTGGGCGCCGACACTCCGTAAGTGGCCGCCCCTCCTGGGCTCCTCGTGCACCCCGCGCCCCG